TTGATGTATGCTTTAATCAGGTCTTTATAATCTACACACATTCTAAGTTTGTTTCCCTTCTTAGGGACTACTATTACATTCTCTAACCATTCGGGATATTTTACTTCCCGGATGGATCCTATTTTGAAAAGTTTGGTTACCTCATCTTTGATGAAAACATGTTTTACCTCTGACTAAGGCCTCCTTTTTTGTTTTACTAAGCAGAACTTTGGGTCCAAGCTTAGTTTATGAGTAGTGATATTCGGTGGGATCCCTGTCATATCGAGATGGGACCAGGAAAATCCATATTAGCTTTAAGAAACTGAATAAGTTTTTTCTTGAGCTCAAGAGTTAACCCCGTGGCTAGGTATACCTTTCGATCGGGTAAATGCTCGATCAATATGATTTGTTCAAACTCTTTGACCATTGATTTGGTTGCGTCAGAATCATTGGGTATTATGAAGGATCGAGGTATCATATAGTTACCATCCTCGTAAGTTCCCTACTCTTCCGGTTGGGTCGAAGTTGGTGATTGTGGTTGCTATTTGGCCTCCTGTTTTCCCTTCGAATCTGACTCCTTTGCTGATGAAAGTGTCGATACCGGTATCACTTCGTGGATTGCAAACATATCCCTAGCAGCGGGTTGTTCCCCATACACTATTTTGACTCCCTACAATGTTAGGAATTTCAGAACTTGGTGAAGGGTCGAGGGTACTGCCCTCATGTTATGGATCCAAGTCCTTCCGAGCAGTGCATTGTACCTCATTTCACCCTCGATCACATGGAACTTTGTTTCTTGGATGGTCCCGGCCATGTTTACTGGCAAACTAATTTCACCTTTAATGGTTTCACTTTCCATGTTGAAGTCGTTAAGTTCTCGGGTTGCGGGCACAATTTTATCTTATAGGCCAAGCTTCTCTACGACCCTTGATCGAATAATGTTGGCCGAGCTACCTGGATCAATAAAAACACATTTAACTTGAATTTTACTCATAAGGACAGATATTACCAGTGCATTGTTGTGAGGTTGTTCGATCCCCTCTGCATCCTCGTCATTGAAAGACAAGATCTCTTCCAGTAAGTAGTCTCGAGGTCGCTTTTCTCTTGTGATCGTCACCTTGGTGCGCTTAAATATCGGTCCTTGAGGAATATCGACCCCACCAACGATCATGTGAATCACGTGTTGTGGCTCGTCTTGCTCGTTCTATCTGTTTGAATCTCTGTTTTTGAAGTGATTCTTGGCCCGATTACTTAAGAATTCCCAAAGGTTTTCCTCGTTGAACAATCGGGCTACTTCCTCCCTTAGCTGCCTGTAATCTTCTATTTTATGACCATGGGTGCCATGATACTTGCATATTTGGTTAAGGTTTCTCTGAGCTAGATCGGTCTGCAAAGGTCGAGGCCATCTAGTATCCTTGATATGTTTGATGGTTGATGCATCTTCACTGAAATTATATTCCGACAATAATGGAGCTTCTTTGGGCCCGGCATCCTTTTCAAAACCATCCTTGCTCATGAGTTCCCATGAACTTTGACTCGATCGTTCCTCCTCTCATTCCGTGCAAAATTTCGTCTAGAACTGCTGCCTCTACAATCTCCGTTGTACGGTTGATATCGATCTCTATTCGACCTTGGCTCTCGATCGATATCCCTCTTGATTCTATCCATGGGTCTGTTAGGATAAATGGACCCAAACAGAGTTCCTAGTTGATCATCCTCGACCCTGATCTTTGACTGATATCAATTATGTACATCGGCCCAAGTGATAGTTGGATACTCGATAAAATTTTGCTTCAACTTCTATGAAGCTATGGAACTTCGAACGTTGAGACCTTGAATAAAATCTTGAATAGACAAATCATCGGTGACCGGTGGCAAATCCATTATTTCCGTTTAGAACCGAGATAAGAACTCCTGATCATCTTGTTATCTTTCTGCCTTACCTTGAAAAAGTCCGACTTTCTTGTTACAACCTTAATGGATCTGGCGTGCGCCTTTATAAAAGAATCTTCAAGTATAGCAAATGAATCAATAGAATTGGGCGGTAAATTATGATACTATATCATGGCACCCTTAGATAGAGACTCCCCGAACTTCTTCAGCAATACGGATTCAATTTCGTCATCTTCCAAGTAATTTCATTTGATAGCACATGTATAGGAGGTGAGGTGTTCATTTGGGTCAGTCGTCCCGTTATATTTAGGAATCTCGGGTATACGAAACTTCTTGGGGATTGGCTTCGGAGCCGTACTTAGGGGGAAGGATTTTTGCACAAACCTTTTTAGAATCTAGCCCTTTCAATATCGGTGGTGCCCCCGGGATTTGGTCGACCCTGGAGTTATAGGTTTCCATTTTCTTATCATTTTCCTTGATCTTGTTTTCTACTGTCTCAATTTGTTTCGTTAATTCTTCGAGTATTTTTAGGATAGCGGAATTTGTCTCTGATTCTCTCTCATTCGATTTTCTCAAAGTCGATTCGACCCTATGCACAACCTCTTGGGATGGCTCGAGTTCAACCATGATCGGTGTGTGGTTCTGATTTTAGAGTCGAACGATTATTGCCTGTTGGGCCTGCAACATTTTGAAGATTACCCGCAGGCTAATACCGCCATCATCACCGCTATGCGCATTCTGAGTAGATGATCGGGTACCCCCACGAATGCTGCTTTCGAGATCAACATCCACATTTCCATTGATGGCTACATTTGAACTGCTGTCGATTGGGTCTGCAGCCGGAACTCCATAGATGCCAACAGGGGGTGAAACGTTTCATGGTGCAATGTTCTCATTCTCGCTGTGTTGGCTGAGATCATTGTCAATGTGTTGAGGTGCTGACTGAGAGTTTGACATCTTTCAATCCTGTAATCAAAGATACTTCAAAGAACAACCATAAATTGGTGTATGTTACGAAAATTTGTACAAGGCAATCACTATTATTCTTAGCCCCACAGCGGGCGCCAAATTGTTTACCCTTAAAATTGGATAACAATTAAACTTATAAGTGGTTTTAAGGATATGTGATTTCACTTGGCACAAGCGGAGAAATGTGAGAATTAATGTTAGAAATCAAATGTAAAATAAATCAAACAAATATAATGAACGGTTATAGCCTTCGATCTAGATCGCCTTCGAACAAACAGAGTATGCTAAAAAAATATGAACTGAACAACAGAACTTAAGAGAGAAAATGTAGTTTATTGCTTGGTTATGCATGAATATCCCTCTTACAAAATGATTAGAACCCCCTTTATATAGTAGAGGAATTCCACTTATGGTACAATTCTAAATACAGAAGAAAACCTCATGTTTGGCTAAATGTCCGGCCTTGACTCGATACGTGCCGAAATTTCCGCCACGTCCTTGCTCGATCACGGATATCTCGACTTTCTGCTATTCGGTTTAGCAGGCTTCCTTCGATCTCATTCTGTCTCTATCTCACTTCAGTCTCGATCATGGTTGGTCTCGATTTTGATCGATCATCGACTCATGAGCTTAGCAATCCGTCTCCGTATCATCGTTCGACGCAATGCGAGATCGAGCCTTGGTCCGTCACCCCGATTTCGATTAGTCATACAAAATTAGGGAAGTCCGATTTTGACCGTATACAACTCTATTATTAAGAAAATATATTTACCTTTCTCTTTCAATTGCTAATTTATTCAAAATTACACTTCAATAAGTCACGGCTAGTGCCAATTTTTTTTTATTATTATTATTTTGTGGCACTGCCTCCAAATGTAGAATCTTAACCATTTAATGCACGCAAGCTTGATTCATTTTGAAGTCTACCAACCCCCAACCTCTGCCCCCACACAAGCCAAATTCCATTTACCATTTCCAAACTTATGGGATAGAACGTGTTTGGCAGTGGGTTAAAACGGACCACAAGGCTGAGGTCCAAGGAGTAGATGTTGAAGTAATATTGTGGTATTGGGATACTGAATTTTTGGACTTAAATACCCCATCCTGGCATTTTCTAAAAAAATTAATACTATTCTACTGAAAGGATGCCAACCATTATTTATTTAGTTCAGATTTATGTATCCATGCATATGTTTGCATTTATATACTTTATTCCTACTTATGGATTCATAGGTATACAGTGAAGCACAGGTGCAATTTATGAAACCAAAAAAAACAAAGAAAAATATTGAGGGAGAACTGTTGTGAAGAAAAGGATAACGAGAGCTGGTAAAGTTTGGTACTTGTTGAAGTCCACTATGAGTTTTAAACGTTCAATTCTTACTTGGTCCTTTTCTTTCCCCACATCAGGTCACCACTAAAAAATCTGAATGTATTTTCGCAAATAATAATATAATATTTACTCTAATTTTTGACACTGTGTTCTGCCAGCCAATCATATTCCAGCAACTGGTCAGCCCTGCAATGAAAATACGTAACGGACCATTTCTGCACAGTGGGGACATATACTCAAAGAAAGAGTCGCATTCTATCTATATATAGTACTCCATGTTGGTGACAAAATTTTCACGGCTGATAAAGCAAAGAAACTTGTTTTAGAAGAGAGAAGACATAAGTTGTTGATCGATAGAAACAAGAAGACTTGTCAAAAACAGTCAAAGTCTCATTTTACAAATCAACATAATCAGAGCCCTTCATTAAATTCCAACGTGGACATATCAGAAGCGTCCATCTTATTTACTAAATACAAAGATGGATTTCAACTGAAGGATCCAGGACCTTCTAGAAGAGCTAATGCATAATAATTTACTTTTGCATTGTTTGTAAAGATTCTTTTTGTTTGTTATCAGATACACAATTAGGATTAGACACGTGTATAGGTTTGTTACTCTTCTTTGTATTCTTCCTTCTTAGAGTTTAGTATATATACATCACTGTACACTATAAACATTCATTCAAGAAAAATAATCAAAACGTTTTCTCACTATATTCTCTGATTTCCATCATGGTACCAGAGCGGTAGGATACGATCTCAGTACAATTTATTTTTCGTTTGCTTTCTTCTTCATCAAACTCAGCTTCTCTTTAGCTCTGTTCTAATGGCTCCTGGAACTGAAGCTTCTACTGTCAGCTCTGGTTCACCTGTTGCAGCGACAGGGACAACAGCTATCAATGACTCGGCTCATTCATATTATCTTCATCCTTCGGATTCTCCAGGGATGGTACTGGTTAACACTGTCTTTGATGGCAAAGGGTATGGAGGATGGAGAAGAGCCACAGTTATTGCTCTCTCAGCCAAGAACAAGCTTGGTTTTGTCGATGGCAGCTTCACCCAGCCAGATCCTTCTGATCTTCTATTCAAACCATGGAACCGCTGCAACGATATGGTAATCTTTGGATACTGAATTCCCTCTCCAAGGATATAGCAGAAAGTGTCTTGTACTCCAAGACTGCAAAAGAAATTTGGACTGAGTTAGAGGATCGCTTTAGTCAGTCAAATGGAGCTCAACTCTACCATCTTCAAAAGTAATTAAGCGACCTTGTTCAGGGGAACTCAGACATTCCAAGATATTACACCAAAATTAAGAGGATTTGGAATGAGCTTGATGCTCTTAATACCTGTGATCATTGTACATGCACTTGCAGTTGTGGAGGTAAGACAAAAGCTCTCAAATCTCTTCAAGATGGTCGACTTATCCAATTCCTCATGGGGCTCAATGAGACCTACTCAGCTGTGCGCAGTAACATACTGATGATATCACCTTTACCTAGTGTGAACTTGGCCTATTCACTGCTCATTCAAGATGAGAAGCAGCGTGAGATTCATGTTGCTCAACACCCTACTGAATCTGCCTTCTTGGCCTCATATTAGCAGGGAAATACTCAGAAAACAGGAAGAACAGATATGAAATTCAAAGCACATTTTGAAGGGAAGAAGTCCAACCTGTTTTGCAATTACTGCAAGAAGCCCGGACACACTATTGATCAATGTTATAGGATTATTGGATTCCCATCTTCCTTCAAGTTCACAAAGTCCAGAAAATTTCAAGGTGGAGCTTACAGCAATCAAGTAATGACTTCTGAAGATAATGTGACAACACCTACAGGAACAGACACACAATCATCAGGGAATCCCATCACACAGGATCAGTTTTCTCAACTTTTTCAGTTACTTCAGCTGGTGAAAATAGGACAACAAGGAGAACAGGTTTCTGAAGCCAACACTACTGCTAATTGTGCTGGTATAATACAGCCTGATCTTAACCCTTCCAGTTGTTTTTCTCATATTAATTCTGTTTATTGGATATTGGATTCTGGAGTAAAAGAACATATGACCTACGACTATTCCATTCACTTCGATATAAAACCTTTAACTAAGCCAGTTTATGTCAATCTTCCTAAATCTCACAGGATCAAGGTTCATCAAATAGGAAGTGTTCAAGTGCTACCAGACTTGATTTTGATAAATGTCCTTTATGTGCCTGATTTTAGATACAATCTCTTATTTGTTCATAAGCTCACAAAATGTCTTAATTGTCTCTTACTCTTTGCTTCTTTTGCTGCAATTTTACAGGCCCCTTCAATGAAGAGGCCAGTGGTTCTTGGTAGGGTTCAAGATGGTCTTTATCTCCTCAAGCCAATTCAAGCCAAACATCATGTAGAGCCAGTCATTTTACCAGTTCCTAAGTCTTTCTCTGCTTGTAATAAATGCAAGGATAGTTTAGCTTTTCATTCGGTTTCCAAATCAAACTCTGATGTAAGCCTATGGCACATGAGATTAGGGTATATGCCATTATCTAATATGAAGAATATTTCTAGTTTTCACAATCTTTCTGTGTCTAAATTCAATTATCCATGTGATGTTTGTTTTAAAGCTAGACAATCCAAATTACCATTTTCATCTAGCAGCATCTCTAGTACTTCTGCTTTTGAGCTTATTCACATAGACACATGGGGACCATATAAGATATCAACGCATCAAGGTTATAAATACTTCCTTATTATAGTAGATGACTATAGTAGAGCCACATGGACCTACCTTCTCAAGACTAAAAGTAATGCTTTCAGTATGTTGAAATCTTTTCTAGCAATGGTCAACACTCAATTCAATACAAAGGTTAAAACTATCAGATCCGATAATGCACTTGAGTTAGGAACAAGTTCTTTTACCTCTGAATTTTTCTCTTCACAAGGGATACTACACCAAACTACTTGTGTCAATACACAACAACAAATGGTGTTGTCGAAAGAAACCATAAACATCTACTTGAAACTTCTAGAGCTTTGTTATTTCAATCTAATGTTCCTATCACCTATTGGGGTGAGTGTTTGTTAACAGCAACCTTTTTGATCAATAGGTTTCCATCCAAGGTTTTGCATTTCAAATCACCCTATGAGGTTTTGTTTGGAAAGAAACCCTCTTATGATTCTCTTAAAATTTTTGGTTGTCTTTGTTATGTTTCTACAAAGCCTGCACATAGATCAAAGCTTGAGCCTAGGTCCATTAAGTGTATTTTCTAGGGATATCCTTTTGGTAAAAAAGGGTATAAGGTTCTTGATGTCACATCCAGAAAAGTCCCAACCATGTTTGCAAATTAAGGAAGTCTCTCTATGGGCTTAAGCAAGCCTCACGACAGTGGTACGCAAGACTCACTGCAGCTCTCAACTTCAAAGGGTACTCTCACTCCCTTAACGATTATTCATTGTTCTTCAAATATTCAGACACTGGTATCACTATCCTAGCAGTCTATGTCGACGATATTCTTATTACGAGAAATGATCCCACTGCAATTCATCTACTAAAGGAATTTCTTGATTTGGAGCTTCAAATTAAGGACCTTGGTGAAGCAAGTTACTTCCTTGGTATGGAAATTATACGTGAAAAACAAGGATTGATCCTTAGTCAAAGAAAATTCACCTTAGATCTCCTTTCTAATTTTGGCTGCACAGAATGAAGCCTGTACACTCTCCACTGGACCCCAATTGCAAATTGACTGCTGAATTTGGCGAGCTCCTTCCTGATCCTACCATTTATCGACATCTTGTTGGGAAACTCAACTATTTGACTCATACTCGACCGGATCTTTCGTTTGCTGTCCAACATTTAAGTCAATATATGCAGCAGCCTCGGCGTCCTCATTTTGAATCAGCTATACACTGCCTGCGATACCTTTTATCGACGCCAAGTTTTGGTCTTTTCCTTAATTCAGACCCATCTCTGCAACTCCTTGCCTTTTGTGATTGCCGTGATTCACGCCATTCAGTTAGTGGGTTCTTTATCAGCTTAAGAGGATCTCTAATTTCTTGGAAATCCAAGAAACAACCCCCCATGTCTCTCTCATCTGCTGAAGTAGAGTACCGCTCAATGTGTCGTGTCGTTGCCGATATCACTTGGCTGGTTCGTCTCCTCTCAGATCTGACTGTCAAACCGTCGCTTCCTGTCTCGCTTCATTCGGATAGCAAAGCCGCTATTCATATTGCAAAAAATCCGGTATTTCATGAACGGACGAAACATGTTGACTTGGATTGTCACTTCGTCCGTCAACAGTTTCTGGCCGGCCTCATCTCTCTTTCCTTCATTCCCTCATCATCTTAGATTGCCGATATATTCACTAAGCCACTGTCTGGGCCTCAACACCATCGTATCATGGGAAAGGTGGGCGTGTCTATTCCACCCTCCAACTTGAGGGGGATGTTGGTTACCAAAATTTCCATGGCTGATAAAGCAAAGAAACTTGTTTCAGAAGAGAGAAGACATAAGCTGTTGATTGATAGAAACAAGAAGACTTGTCAAAATAGTCAAAGTCTCATTTTACAAATCAACATAATCAGAGCCCTTCATTAAATTCCAACGTGGACATATTAGAAATGTCCATCTTATTTACTAAATACAAAGATGGATTTCAGCTGAAGGACCCAGGACCTTCTAGAAGAGCTAATGGATAATATTTACTTTTGCATTGTTTGTAAAGATTCTTTTTGTTTGTTATCAGATACACAATTAGGATTAGACACGTGTATAGGTTTGTTACTCTTCTTTGTATTCTTCCTTCTTAGAGTTTAGTATATATACATCACTGTACACTGTAAACATTCATTCAAGAAAAATAATCAAAAAGTTTTCTCACTATATTCTCTGATTTCCATCACTCCACTACTTCAAAGTAAGGAAAGATTAACAAAGAACCCTGATTAAGGATGTGTCGGTATGAGGAAAAATGACTTCTGCGAATTTGTTTTAGGGAAGTCATTCTTAATGTTTATTACGATGAAGGTTATTTTTCATGGAAAACGATTTTTATCAAATAAAAAATGACTTCTCTTTTTTATGGGCGAATAAGTACCACTTCGATATTGATATTAATATTAATTATTATTATTGTTATTCAAAAAAAAAAGAATTTCATTATAATGAACACATCCTAAGTCTGAGATCTTGCATAAGACAATTTCTATTTGACTGGCAAATATTTAGTTCTACTCTATCTAACTTATGTAGTGCATAAGATTAAATTTATAATAATTTATACATCAATATTTCGGTAAGCTGCATCAAGTTTGTTCGTCACGACCCAAACCCAAATTCCTCCCTGCGTGAACTGTCGTGACGGCACCTAGTCTCTACGATTAGGTAAGCCTAATATTGCGGAAATGAAATGAAAACACAAAGATAACAGCTAACATATGTAATTAATAAGCGGAAACGGTGCCACTCGACGTATACAATAATCATCTTTCCCAAAACCCGGAATGTCGCAATGTCACAAGCTTCTAAGAGTTTCTACTGCTCTATACATCCATAATTGAGGAAAAATAGGGGGGGATCATCACAAAGGGATAGAAAGGGACTTTGAGGTCTGCGAACGTGGGCAGATGTACCTTGAAGTCTCCTGAGGCAGCAACTACACAGCTAGACTCGAGGCTAATAGCTAGTACCTGGATCTGCACACGGAAAACATGTGCATGAAAGGGCATGAGTACACAACAACGGTACCCAGTAAGTGCCAAGTCTAACCTTGGTCGAGTAGTGACGAGATCAGGTCAGGGCCCTACTGAAAAATATATAATAAAATAAGACGGAAAGAAATATTGCAGTAAAATAAATACGGGAATCTAACAGGAATAGAATTTAATGAAAGCCAATAGCTCAAAACACAGTAATAGCAACAGGGGATCTCCCGGGATATCGTCATGTAGTCCTAAAGGTAAATGTGCACGTGGATCTCCCAAAATACCGTTCCGTAGTCCCTAAATAAATATGCAGTGCTGGGTGATCTCCCGGAATACCGTTCCGTAGTCCCAACGTAAATATGCAGTATAGTGAAGTCTCCCGGAATACCGTTTCGTAGTCCCAAAGTAAATATGCAGTACGACCAATATGAATAACAGTCACAACGAGAAAATCTACAGCTAAGGATTAGTTCAAATCAAAGAAAACCAGGTAAATTCACTAAACATGTTGCACAAAGTTCAATTAGGCAGTTAAAACATGTACGCATGCTTTTCTAGTCTAAACAAGAAAGTACATATGCTAGTGTAAATCAAACAAGGAGAAAACATGTTATGACTTAGTGAAAAATGGAGTTTTACAACAAATAGCCCGTGTACGTACTCGTTACCTCACGTATACGGCACTCATATATCAAACATTACCAAATCCTAAGGGGAGTTCCCTCATAGAAGGTTAGGCAAGCCACTTACCTCGAACCAAACTCAAATCAATCCAAAATAATGCTCTTTCCGCGAATATCCAGCTCGGAATGGCACAAATTTAACGAAAACCAATTACATAACATAAATATAGCTACAAGAAACTAATCTAGCTACCGAAATCAAATCTAAGGCAAAATATTAGAAAAACGCCCGAAAAGCCTCCTCGGACCCACGTCTCAGAATCGGGTTAAATTTATAAATTATGAACACCCATTACTCACGAGTTCACTCATACCAAAATTTATCCAAATCCGAGGTCTAAATCCCACTCAAAACTCAGAAATTCAATTGAGGAACTATTTCCCCCATTTTTCCAACTTCTCACTCAAAATCCCCGATTAAATGAAGAAAACAATAATAGATTATTGAAAAATAGCAAAAAACGAGTAAGGAATCATTACCCCAAAGCTTTCTTTGAAAATCCCTCAAGAAATCTCCAAATCCCGAGCTCCCAAATCTAAGAATGGTGAAAATGAAACAAACTCTCGATTAAGCCCCTTTTCTGCCTAGTCAAACCGCATATGTGGACCTCTCTTCGCACCTGCGGCACAGCACTTGCAGAAAATCCATCACAAGTGCTAAAATCACTTATGTCCTCAAGTCTCGCTTCTACGAGCAATGGGCCGCACCTGCGCGGCCGCTCCTGCGAAATCTCTTCCGCTCCTGCGGTCCTTCACCTCATCTACGGTTCCTTCCTCGCAGATGCGGAAATAACCTCGCATCTGCGATCCCGACCTGGACTTCCTAACTCTGCTTCTGCGCTCCAAGTCCCGCTTCTGCAGGCTCACACCTGCAGTGACCTCTCCGCAGGTGCTATTACACCAGCACCAGAAAATCTTCAGCAATGGCCTAAGTCCAATTTTCAACCCGTTGAGCATCCGAAAAACACCCGAGGCCCTCGAGACCTCAACCAAACATACCAACCAATCCTAAAACACCATACGAACTTAGTCGAGCACGCAAAATACATCAAACAATGCTAACAACACAATCCTCCTCCGATTTAAACTTAAAGAACTTGAAACTTCTAAATTCGATAACCGATGCCGAAACCAACCAAATCACGTTCGATTGACCCCAAAATTTTTACACAAGTCATATTCAACATTACAGAGCTACTACTTCTGGTATCGGATTCCGACCCCGATATCAAAAATTCTACTTCCGGTCTAAATCTCCAAAAAATCGACTTTCACCATTTCAAGCGTAAATAAACTACGAAGCTCCAAAACACAATTTGGACATGCCCCTAGGACTGAAATCACCTAACGGAGCTATCAGAATTGACGAAACTTCATTCCGAAGTCGTCTTCACACAGTTTCGACTACGGTCCAAATTCTAAGACTTAAGCCTCCATTTAGGGACTAAGTGTTCCAAAACACTCCAAAATCCAAAATGAAACCTCCTGGCAAGTCACAATAGTAGAAAATAGATACAGGGGAAGCAGTTAATAGGGGATCGAGGATCTAACTGTCGAAATGACCGGCCGGGTAGTTACATCCTCCCCCTCTTAAAACATTTATTCGTCCTCGAACGGATATAGAGACATACCTGAAGTGGTGAAAAGATAAGGATAACGGTTGCGCATATCCTGCTCAGTCTCCCAAGTTGCCTCCTCGATTGGCTGACCCCGCCACTGAACCTTCACTAATGCAATGTTCTTTGACCTCAACTTTCGAACCTGCCTGTCCACAATAGCCAATGGCTCCTCAACCTAGGATAGATCCTTGTCCAACTGAGCTGAACTAAAATCCAACACGTGAGACGGATCACCGTGATACTTCCGGAGCATAGAAATATGGAATACCGGATGAAATCCTACTAGACTAGGAGGCAAGGCAAGCTCATAAACAACCTCCCCAATTCACCGCAACACCTCAAATGGACCAATGAACCTGGGGCTCAGCTTGCCCTTCTTTCCGAACCTCATGACGCCCTTCATAGGTGAAACGCAGAGCAAGACCCATTCCCTAACCATGAACGCAACATTGCGAACCTTCCGGTCCGCATAACTCTTCTATATGGACTGGGCTGTGCGAAGTCTATCCTGAATCACCTTAACCTTCTCCAAGGCATCCTGAACCAAGTTTATTCCCAATAATATAGCCTCGCCCGGATCGAACCAACCCACTGAGGACTGACAATACCTACAATACAGAGCCTTATACGGTACCATCTAAATGTTGGACTGATAACTGTTGTTGTAGGAAAACTCCGCAAGTGGTAAGAACTGATCCCAAGAACCTCCAAACTGCATCACACATGCACGGAGCATATCCTCAAGAATCTGAATAGTGCGCTCGGACTGTCCGTCCATCTGGGGGTGAAATGCTATGCTCAACTCCACCTGAGTACCCAACTCATATTGTACGGCTCTCCAGAACCGTGATGTAAACTGCGTACCCCGGTTAGAGATGATAGATATTGGCACGCCATAAAGTCTGACAATCTCACGGATATAAACTCGAGCCAACTGCTAGGAAGAATAGGTAGTCATCACACGAAGGAAATGAGCTAACTTGGTCAGTCTATCCACAATCACCCAAACTGCATCAAACTTCTGCTGAGTTCATGGGAGTCTAACAATGAAATCCATAGTGATCCGCTCCTATTTCCACTCCAGAATCTCTAACTTCTGAAGCAATCCACCCGGCCGTTGATGCTCATACTTCACCTATTGGCAATTTAGGCACCGAGCTACTTACTCTACTATATCTTTCTTCATTCTCCTCCACCAGTAATGCTTCCTCAAGTCCTGATACATTTTCACGGCACCTGGATGAATAGAGTACCGTGAACTGTGAGCCTCTTAAAGAATCAACTCACGCAAACCATCCACACTAGGCACACATAGCATGTCCTACATCCTCAATGCACCATCG